AGGAAGACAACATTAGATTGTTAAAGTTATAAAAGTAGTACTGTTTTAATGTAAGTGTACATAGTACAAATAGTAGTACAATATAAATATCAGTAATCAAGATTGAAACTTGAAATGAGCTATGCACAAAATAATTCTAGTCTTTTGTCTTCTGAAAAGAAAAACAATTCATGAATTTTGTGTTTATGAATAAAGTTTTTTTTAACAAGGAATTTATGAGATGTGTTCTGTGACAGTAACCACAAATTCTAAATAGAACCCAGAGGATGGCCGAGGCCCTCCTTGTCCTGCCATTTAAGCCAGAGAGCCAGATTGAAGGAGAACATCCCCTGCTTGCTTCTGATTTCCACTGCAGTTGGTAATGCTCTGTGCCTCATGGAGCCAGACAGTGACACGGGGTGGGGGAGAGAAACTCCCAAGTTCCTGTTCTCTAAAATGAGACAATGAATTCTAGGAGCAACAAGAGATTAACAGCAAAATATACTGGGGAAAGCTGCTTTCAGAGACAGGGTCCCAAGGCAATTGCTGAGAACCTTGCCTTTTCTAGGGATTTTCATAGAACAAAACCATGGGATGAGGCAGGTCCAAGTGGGGATCACAAGGTGGGGCAAAACTATGATCAGGAAGTCTACAAGCATGATTACTCAGGCAGTGCTGACTAGGAAGCAGTGGGGAGGCAAGTACCATAGCAAGTCAGCGTGAAATTGGATGGGCTTTTTCTGGAGGGAGTGGGTCAGTGGTTCTTGCTGGCTTTCCCAAGGTGATTGAGATCTAGAATATTGATCACTGCTGTTTTTCCTTAGGGGAGGTTTGTGGGTGCATTCATTACACCTTTTCTCTTGAGGACTGCCTCAGTGGAGGTGCCTGTCTCCACACAGCTGCAGTGCACCCTCATGTGCTCCAGCTCCTCTGAGGCCTAGCCATGTCTGCCTGTGGCATTTTTACCTAACTTGGCTATCTGTAACAGTAGGACCTGCTGAAAATGACATCTTTAAAACAATACAGTAGCAATAGTTTCACAGGGAAATGTTTCACAGGGAAATGTTCAGAAAACTTTTTGTCTCATCCTTGCAAGAAGGCTTTGTTCTCATTAGCCCACACCAATCCCCACTACTGTACCTTATATAAATCACTACCTCTCCCCATACACTGGTTAATAAGATACCACGCTAGAGAATCTGCCCATCGTGAGACACCTCCCAGACCATACATGAGGTCTGTCCTCTTTTTACTGTTATCTTCATGCAGGCAGTTGGGAATCTTGGCCAGGTCCTCAATAGGAGCCCTTTAAGCAAATCTGAAGTCAGTAAGGCCAGCTGTCAGGAAGGGAAGATTGCAACCAGGAGGAACTCTGGCTGTGGTACCTAGCTATTGCCAAAGGCGAAATCTCTTTCCTGGGGAAGTCTGTCTTGCTTTTACTACATTCATGGCAGGACCACAATTCATATTGCTACCAGGTGGCTTGAAACAGTGGTATATGCATGGCAGTCACATGAAGTGGCTTTGTACCACCTAATGGGACTGTCCCATGACATACTGTAATGCTGTACCTATGGTGGTTCAAGCCAGCAGAAATGTGTTAGGTTGTCTGAGTAAGGTCCACTAGTATCCTTTTTTTAAAATCAGATGATTAGGAACTTTATATCTGCAAAATTCCTGCATGGCAATATCTATGTTAGGTTGAAGTGAAATTGTAACCTATCCAAGTGGGAACATCATTTGAACAAAATGACTACTTGTGGTTTTGAAGGATAAATGCAAAACTTAAATGCTCATGTCTAAGGATACCTATAACAAAGACCTTCAGTTACAACACAGAAATGATCATTGAGGATATACAGGCCAGTAAATCTGAGCTTTGATACAGAGGAAACTCCCAACTTTCTAGATGTCTGGTACAAGTTCATATTCTCTAAAGTTGAATAAATGTTAGGAACAGTAGAAGTTAAGACTAGAATACATACATATGGAACAAAAGCTTCTCTGAGAGAGAAGGAATCCTGAGTGGATTGCCAAGGACCGGGCCTTTTTTAGGGACTTTACAGAGCAAAACTACAAGGTGAGGTGGTTCCAGGGTGAGGAAAAATGGGAAATATCAAAGTGGGCATGAGGTGGGACAATACTATGATTAACCAATAAGATTGTGGGTATAATTGCTCTGGTAAAATTGATTAAATTGGGATCTAATGGAAAAGTGAGTAAAGTAGCAAGTGAAACGTGAAACAACAGGGGCTTTTCCCATGGGGGTTGGGTTAGTGGCTCTTCCTGGCTTCCTCAAGGTAATGCATACTACTTAGGGTGTCAAATGCCTGATGTTTACCCTTAGAATGTGGGTGCATTTTTTTGTCTTCTCTCGTGAGGACTGGCCCACAGCAGAAATGCCTGTCTCTCCCACAGTTGCAAGGTATTTCATCTTCCGCACTGGCTTCTTCAGGATTTAGCCCTATTTGACTGCCTCTTAATATTTTTTTATCTAATTTAGCTGCTTATAGCACTTGGTTTTATATGTTGCAAATGGGTGGGTGTGTTCTTATCTATACCTAAATGTAAATGAATTGCTCCCTACAATTCTTCCTGAAAAAAAATTCTTCCTGAAAATCTAAAGAGCCATCTTGATGACTTTATTAACAACCCACTGCCTAAAAACCTCCTAGAGAGTTCTAGGTTCTAGAAGTCATCTGAAGAACATCTGGTACAAGTTCATGCTCTCTAAAGTTGAATAAATTTTAGGAACAATAGGGGTTAAGAGCAGAATACATGTATATGGAAAGAAAGCTTCTCTGTGAGACACAAGGGATCCTGGGTAAAAAAGCAAGCAAAGGAATTTTACAGATTGTGTGTTATGTTAAATGTACAATTCATCTTTCTTTAAGAAACAGTGGAATACCATAAAGCCATCATTAATGTAAAAGGCCAACCCCCAAAGAGGGAGGAGATGCTTATAATACCTGTATATAAAAAATTGCCTGTATCCAATAAACCACCAGACATTCATACAAACAAAAAGAGATAAATCAGCAAAAGAATGAACAAAGAAACCTGAATAACTTCTTCACAAAATAAGATACAATTGTCTTACTAGCAATAAACAATGACTTCATAAGACAAGAAATGCAAGTAGAACTACAGTGAAGTACAGTTTCACACCCTACCACATAACTAAAGAAAGCAGAAAATTCCAAGTTTTGGCAAGGCTGAATGGTAACCTGAGCTAAGCTAGTGCAGGGGGAGGGACAATGTCTGCTAAGGTTGAACACGTGTGCCTCTGCACAATTCCACTCCAGCACACAATCAAAGAGACACACATGCAACAATATTCATAAAAGCCGAAACCTGGAAATAGGCTGAATCATCTGCATTAGAATAGATAAAATTAAAGTTGCTGAGACAGTGCACTATTCTACATGAATAAAAACATGCTCCAACTAGATACAACATGGAAGAGTCTCAGACATAATCCAGAGTGAAAGAATCCAGACCAAAAATTATATCCTACACAGATCAGCTGGTGTCTTTTTATACAAGATTTCAGGTCCAGCAAAACCCATCCACGGTGTTAGAAATCAGGATTCCTTGCCCACAGCAAGGGGAGGAGTGAGGCCCAGTGAGTGATTGATGGTGCATGAGAAAACCTTTGGGATACTGGTGATGATCAAGATCTTTCTAGGTTGTCATTATATGAGTACTCAGTCTGAAAACTGGTCAGGCCACACACAAGATTTAAACACTTCAATGTGTATTTTAGTTCAATGAAGTTTTTGTTCAACTGGTATTTAGTAGTTTCTCTGTGGCGATCATGCATATACACATCATGCAAAAAAAATCTGCATGTTATTACAAAAGATACTTATCTTGGGTAATAAAATTCTAGAAGCATAGCCTCAACTATGTTGTATCTCCAATCACTTGGAAGTGAAGGTAATATATAATGTAGCCAAAGTGGTTCTAAAGTTGTCACTGATTTTGAAAATGTGAATGAAAAAAAAAAAAAAAAGAAAATGTGAATGTAGAATTTAGAGAAAATTTCATGAAATCTTACAGTGGAATAGTGAATATTTCTAAACTGATATTTAAAATATTTTCTAA